AAGATTTTTATTTTACTCAAGTCTTATTTATTTATTTATTTTTGTCACTGTGATTGCCATTGGGTCTTCTTCAGAAATTCTTTGCCTAGACTGATATTAGAAGAATATTTCCAACATTTATTTTAGACTTTGTATGGTTTTTAGTCTTATATTTAAGTATTTTATTCATCTTGAATTAATGTTTTTGAGTGATGAGACATATGGATTCAGTTTCATTCCTCTCAATGTGGCTATCCAGTTGTCCTGGCACCACTTTACGGAACAGGGCTTGTTTTCCTCAGTGTCTATTATAGTCTGCTTTGTCAAAGATATGTTGGATATATGTGGATGGATTTATGTCTGGATTTTCTGTTCTGTTTCATTGGTCTATGTCTCTATTTTCGTGCTAATACCATACTTTTGGTTACCAAAGCCTTGTAGTATAAGTTGAAGTCTGGTGTTTTGATGCCTCCAGATTTGTCCCTTTTTCTCAAGGTTGTTTTGGCTACTTGGGGTCTTTTCTGGTTCCAAACAAAGTGTAAAATTTTGTTCTCCAGATCTGTGAAATATGATGTTGCTATTTTGATGGGGATTGCATTGAATCTGTAAATCACTTCAGGTAGTATGGACATTTTAGCAATGTTTATTCTACCTATCCATGAGCATGATATGTTTTTCCATGTTTTTTGTGTCATCTGCAATTTCTTTCCTCGGTGTTTCATAGTTTCTTTGTAGAGATCTTTCACCTCCTTAGTCAAGTATATTCATAGGTATTTTATTTTTTTTGTAGCTACTGTGAATGGTGTTGAGTCTTTGATGTGATTCTAAGCTTGACTGTTATTGGTGTATAAGAATGCTACTGATTTGTGTCATTGATTTTGTGACCTGAGAATTTGCTGAATTTATTTATTAATTTCAGTACTCTCTTGTTAGAATCTTTCATGTTTTCTAGATATTAGATCATATTGTATGGAAAAAGTGATAATTTGATCTCATCTTTCCAAATTTGGATACCCTTAATTTCTTTCTCTTGACTGATTGCTCTGGCTAGGACTCCCAGTACTATGTTGAATAGAAGTGGTGGCAGAGGGCATTCTTATCTTTTTCCAGTTCTTGGGGGAATGCTTTCAACTTTTCCCCATTCAGTATAATGATAGCTGTGGGTTTGTCATATATGGCTTTTATATTTTTGAGATATATTTCTTCTCTGCCTGATTTTTTGAGGGTTTTATCTTGAATGGGGGCTGAATTTTGTCAAATGCTTTTTTTTTACATCTATTTAGATGATCATATTATCTTTGTTTTTGCTTCTGTTTATGTGGTGAAACACATTTATTGATTTACCTGTGTTGAAATATCCTTGCAGCCCTGGAATGAACCCACTTGGTCATAGTGGATTATTTTCTTGACATGCTGTTGAATTTGGTTTACTACTGTTTTATCTATTTATTTATTTTTATTTCTGCATATTATGGGGGTAAAAATGTTTAGGTTATTATGTATGTTGCCCTTGCTCCTCCCCCCCAAGTCAGAGCTTCAAGCGTGTCCATCTCCGAGATGGTGCACATTGCATTCATTATGTATGTATATACCCATCCCCTCCTCCCCACTCCCATCTGCCCGACACCCGATAAATGTTATTCCTTTATATGTACTTAGGTGTTGATTAGTGAAAGCAATTTTATGGTGAGTACATGTGGTGCTTATTTTTTCATTCTTATGATACTTCCCTTAGTAGAATGGGTTCCAACTCTATCCAGGAAAATACAAGAGGTGCTATATCACCATTATTTCTTATAGCTAAATAGTACTCCATGGTATACATATACAAAACTCGTGCAACCTCTGTGGAAAGCAATATGGAGATACCTTAAAGAGATACAAGTGGATCTACCATTTGATCCAGCAATCACATTACTGGGCATCTATCCAAAAGAACAAAAGACATTCTATAAAATAGACATCTGCACTCGAATGTTTATAGCAGCACAATTCACATTGCAAATATGTGGAACCAACCTGAGTGACCATCGGTACATGAGTGGATTACTACTATTTTATTGAGGATTTTTTGCATGTATATTCATAAGGGATATTGGTATATAGTTTTAATTTTTTGTTGTGCTCTTTCCTGGTTCCATTATCAAGGTGATACTGGCTTTTGAATGATTCCCAGATTTTAAGAGTTGTTTAACTAGGCTTATTATTTAAATTATTTAATTTGTATCTTATTAAAATGTCTTTCACAGAAGTACTATTATCACCACTTCCTCAATGAAAAACCTGAGAACTTAAGTAATGTTAAGAAAATTGCTCACAATTACACATCTAATTAGGACAAAGAGCTTGGGTTAAACACAACCTTGTCTATATAGCATACTAAATTTCTAAGATAGCACTTACTCGGATTGATTTAATCTTTGAATACAATTCAATATTTAAATATATTTAAACATTCTGAATGTTTAAAAAACATACATGGTACAAAAATTCAAAAAGTAAAAAAATGGTCGTGCAGTGAAAAGTTACTCTCTTTCCCCCTTCCTACGCCCCAGATATTTATTTATTTATTTATTTTTTATTTTTTTATTTATTTATTTTTTTTGAGACAGAGTCTCGCTTTGTTGTCCAGGCTAGAGTGAGTGCCGTGGCGTCAGCCTAGCTCACAGCAACCTCAAACTCCTGGGCTCAAGCAATCCTTCTGCCTCAGCCTCCCGAGTAGCTGGGACTACAGGCATGTGCCACCATGCCGGCTAATTTTTTTTTTTTCTATATATATCAGATGGCCAATTAATTTCTTTCTATTTATAGTAGAGACGGGGTCTCGCTCTTGCTCAGGCTGGTTTTGAACTCCTGACCTTGAGCAATCCGCCCGCCTCGGCCTCCCAAGAGCTAGGATTACAGGCGTGAGCCACCGCGCCCGGCCTCCAGATATTTAAAGTGCTCTCCTGAGATACCACTGTTACCTCATGTGACACTACTTGTTTCAGAGACGTAATATGCACAGGGCTTCAGGTACCCATTATTTGTGGAAAGTGAGGATCATCTATGCATTACTTATTTTTCATGTACATCAAGAAATAATTATACCTCTTTGTGGGGTTGGCAAACCTCACTAAGCATTCTTTTCTTAAGAAAGCCTGATCCTACTCCAGTTTATCAAGCATAAATAATAAACCAAATAATTTATTTATAAAAATAACTTTAGAACTTATGAGTGAGTTGAGACAAAGAAAAACAAGTCTAAAATCTTGCCGATAGAACTGTTCTAAATAACATGCTCATTAGATAATTCTCTTACTTCAGCAGGCACTGGCTCTAGTTCCTAGGATTTCACCATGAAAAAGAATGTTAGGACAGCGCCTCACCCATCCCAAAAGCATCCCTGTGCCTTCTACATCCCGGAAAGTTGTCAGCTTCCCGATAGCAATCTAGATGACTATCCTGTTGAATTCCAGAGTACCAGTCCTCGTGTTGTCCCTCTGAGATGCTGAGACACAGGTCAGTAGTATGGCTGAACCCAAGGAATTTCCTACCTCTTCAAATACCCAGGTTAGGCCACTGATATTTTTCTCTACTGTACCAGCCCAATCAAGTTTGAAACACTGCACACACCACACAATTCTTAGGGGAACCAAGTGCAGACTCTCTGGTGCCATCTTATTATCGCCACCTAATCAGCAGTGACCTCAGCCAGATGAGAGAGGAGAGCAGAGTGAAGATCTTCACAGAATCCAAAGAATAAACAATGCCACTCTTTATTACCTTTTTTGATGTGTTTGAATTTATTGGTTAGATATAATCAGTTAATTAGTTATTCTTAGTATATCTATCTTTTAGAGATCACAACTCTTCGAAGACCCATTACATAGCATGCCTTATGTTAGCCATCTCATTGAGCTGGTGCAGCAAACTCTGGAAGTAGGAATAGTTCTTATTTCTAAGGCAAAGCTATGTAAGCCGATCTCCAAGGAGTTTAGGAAATATTTGATGTCACATGGTAGTCATGCCTGGAGATGTCCACACAGCCAAGGTACTCAAAGTTTCTCCAAGTTGGGACACTGAGTAATACTAGCTAAAGTTTTACTGTGGTTCAATCTGCGTAGTCATATTTTATTTATAGGTAAAAATATCCAGATAGTGACTGGTGGGATAAATATCTCACAGAACTTCATTCCTTGAGTGTGCATAGAAAGTCTGAAATCCTACGAAATGTCATTTCAAAAGAGAGGAATTGTCAAGGAATCAGTTGAACTAACTTATGTAGGAAAAAGTAGCACACGGTATGACGGGAGTGTGAATGGAAAAGCTTCTAAATGGATGTGGCCCAGACATGAAGTCAGTGCTGAAAAAAATGGGAGAAAATGAATTCAGATTTCTAGTAGATGACAAATCACTCATGCTCATGAGGGTCACAGAGATGAGGTCAGTGGGTAAATGGAAATGGTAGATTTAGGGATGGCCTGGCATGTAACTCTATGGCCTAGAAAACTGAGGGATGGCGTTGCCTGTTCAAGCCCATTGAGGGACCATATGGAGACACAGGCAGGGTGGGACTGCCAGGGTCTAGGAAGCTAGGATGTGCCTTTGTGGCCCTGATCAAATAAATTAATTGTCAAAGAAAGCCTAGAGAGCAATGGCTCATGGTAAAGGGGGAAGTTAGGTATAAAGACACACTTCAGCTGCACCTGGAATTTAAGACATGTTCAGCTTTCAGTGTTAGTACCCTCTGGTCTGTCCTATTAAAGAGAACAAAACTGGATACTGGGCAGGTGCCACCGAATGAGGTAATAGTTGTTACGTACAGGTCACTCAGGAAACTGGGAGGTAGGGGAAGTACCATCTCTGCTTGCAAAAAACAAGAGAATTTGTCATATTCTCCAATTGCCACATGACACTGGCATGGAGAACTTGAGAAAATGTCTCAACTGAATCACTGTGCATTACCCTGGCGAGGAAGATCACCAACTAGGAAGTTCTGTGACAGCGTGAGCATGCCAAGTCATTTGGGGATTGCACGCAGAAGGCATTTTGGTTGGGAAATAAGCACATCATCCCAGTTTCTGGACTGTTCCGTTGTGTGTGGGTGCCTGGCCCTTATAAAATGCTTCTCCAGCACACGGATGCTATCTTCTTGGCACTCAGCTATAGACCTCTGGACACTCTGGTGAGTACACACCGTATAGCCTTTATTGGTACTTCAGTGGTATTAGGGTTTAACCTGTGGGTGGAAATGGTGATTTTCTTTAATCAATTTATGCTCATGGGTGGGAGAAAGAAGACAATGAGGTTTGAAGGATCAATTTTAGCTGGTGTTTGGTAGACGGACTTGAAGGTGATGAGGGAAATGGAGTAAAAACTACAATCTTAAACCTGACTCTTGAACTGAAGGTGAGTGAGAGATGCAAGATGCTGTCCTGTCTTTTGCTCCACATCTGTTCCAAACACATCTCTATCAGAGTGCAATCTCCTTGAGGGATTGGCTGGAGCCTTTGCAGTGCTTTTCAAAGCCTTGTTGCTCAGCACCACAAAATCTTAAGGGTTGTGTCTGAAAAATGGGTCCTTGGAGACTGAAGGGTTAATGCTGTGGCTAATTGTCTCCCTTATGAATGCCGTAGCCTATCTTTCAGATCCTCTGAGCCCCACCAGAGATGTCCTACCAACAGCAGCAGCAGTGCAAGCAGCCCTGCCAGCCACCTCCTGTGTTCATTCCTAAGTGCCCTCAGCCATGCCCACCTCCTAAATGCCCTGAGCCTTGCCCACCTCCTCCCTGCCCACCTGTGCAGTGCCCACCTCCTCCCTGCCCACCTGTGCAGTGCCCACCTCCTCCCCGCCAGCAGAAGTGTCCACCCAAGAGCAAGTAACAGCATGAGGATTCATCAGGACCATGAACCGGCTAGATCCACTTGCTCTTCCTGATCACAGGACTCCATCATCTTCCCTTCAGCCTTGGTGACAGATTGCATCCTCCCTAACCTCTGCCTGGGATGACAGCTGACAGAGAAAAGCTTAGGCACTGAAGCTGATGTCATGTTATTGGAAGATGAGCATTAGGATGGTCACCTAATCTCCCTTTGCCGGCTGTCGCTCAGTGACTTGGTGCTGGTCCCTACCCTCAAGCAGGTCTGCCTATTCTTTAGCTTCCCCAATAAAGCACATGTTCATGGTCAAGCCCACATTACTGTTCTTCGTGTTTTGTGTTTTTATCCTCTTCTGTTAACTACTTCATATGAGTGTTCCTTTTCATTGCTATGGAATTGTTAGAATTCAATAGCAATGAGGGCTTTTCCATCCCTCAATTCAGTGTGTCTTGAAATGTGTTTTTTGCATTTGGTAGCAAAAAATAATTTTCTTTCATTGGCTGTAAACTCAGCTTTACCTCTGATAGCTTGTGTGACCCTGAAATAATTACTTAAATTCTCTCAGCTGAGGTTTCATCATGTGTAAACATAGGAAAATGTATTCAGCTCAGTGCGTTCCTACCAGTTCTTCAATTTATTTACAAATGTTTCCTAATGTCTGTCACATGTCAAGCAGTCTTATACAAGTCCTTGTTGTTTATAGAGTCTATATTCTCAAGGGAGTTACAACACACACACACACACACACACACACACACACACACAGACTCTACACAAACCCCACATGTGTAAGACAAATGAAAGTGGTGCATGGGCAACATATTAGAGAAAATTCTTAGAAAGACTCTTCTAAAGTGACTTTAGTGTAAAGACATAAAGGAATAGAAGAGGGAGCCATGGGTAGATCTGGGGTAGATTGCTCTAAGACTAGGGAAAGGCAAGTGTTAAGGAAATGCAGAATAACAGCAAACAGAAACCTCAGGGCTTGATGAGTCAGAGAATCCAGGGAGATAGATTGAGGAAAAAATGAAAATGAGTGCAAGGATCTTGACTGCAGTGTGTTAGTAAGAATTGAAAAACTAGAAACAGCATAACTTGTCCTCTTCTTGCAGACACTATTATTTTCCTCTCTTTCTGGTACCAAACTCTTAAGATCTAATATTGTTCTTTATATTTGTTACACCTAGAGTATATTTCCAACTGCTAAAGGAGAACCTTATAAAATCAAAGAGGTTGGGTGGGGAGAGGGAAGAAGGAAACTGGTTAAGTAAGGTCTTTGGTGTAGATGATTGTGTGTGAAAATCAGAGGAATCTCTCTCTGGCTGATATGATTCCAAGTAATTTATGTTATTACCTAAATAATAACAATAGTGAAAAGAATGATAACAAATGTAAATGAGTCAGAAAGAGATAGTTCAATAGAAAAATGGATAAAAGCCTTTAGCAGACACTTCACAAAAGAGTATGTGTTCAAATGGCCAATAAACATAATTTCAAAAACAGTCTAAAACACATTAATATTTAATAAAAGTGTGTATTCAGAGCACACAGAAAAATCATTAAACACACAGCAGAAGGGTAAAACTTTCAGAAAGATAGCAATGATCAACTTATTTAAAGAGGGAGAAGAAACAGAAAATCTACCACCACGCCAGTAGGAGTTTAAATTTGTGTAGCGTTTTAGAAAACACTTTGGCATTACCTGCCAAGGTTGAAGATGCATATACTCCTGGGAGTGTACCCCAGAGAGATGTGTAAACATGTGCACTGGCAGGAAGGAGGAAAAGGTCACCATGGCACTGTTCCCAACTGCACCAAAATGCAGAACAACCCAATGTCAACCAACAATAGAATAAATAAAGCAATGAAGTATTGGATGGTCATACAATAATATACTAAAATACAAAAGTGAATAAACTAAAACTGAATAATGTCGATTAAAAGTAGACAGGCAAAAACAAAGATTCCATACCATATGGTTCCATTTACAAGCAATTCAAAAACTGGAAAACTTAACTATATTTTTCAGAGGTGCTTCTATATTGATGGTAAAAAGTACATATACACAAAGGAAAACAAGAAAGCAATTATATTAAGACTCAGCCGAGTGGTTACCTCTAATGCTGAAAGTGTGGACTGTTACCGAATAAGGCAATGTGGGGTGTTCTGAAGGGTCGGTAATGCTATTTTCCTTGACTTTGGGGTTGGTTCCATGAGTGCTCAATTTATCATTGTTCACTCAGTACAGCTAAAGTTAATGAACTTTCTGAAAGGGTTGATTATTTCCTCCACACACACGAAATTGAAGGATTTTTTACTTTTTAAAGACAAAATAGGGGTGGAGGACTGTCTTTAACAATATTAGGCCAGAGATCTTTTCAAGAGCTTCTGTTATAACGATAACCCAGAGTCATTCTGTATCACTTGGTGCAAAGTCTGCCCACCAACACTCCCTTCAGAGTTTGGAGCACAGCAAGAACAAAAGTCCCTGAGCATTTTGCTATCTATAATTTGATGGTATCGATAGAACAGTTTTCTCTTTAACATGAAAAAACAAGTAGAGCTACTTTTCATTTAGTCTCTCCCTCAAAATAAGTTTTCCATTTGCAAAGGGTTTTCTTTTATTCCTCATGGCTTTTCAACTTCTTTAAAAATGTTTGAAACCCCCTATGTACTTTTAGATGAAGTGCTATACAAAAAAAAATTATATTTGGTAGCTGAGAATTACATAAACATAACATTTTAGGCCTTTTGCCATCAGCATGAGATGGCTGTCAGACTTTGAATATATGACAAAATCATGACAGCATCCTAGAGACCCAACCTGTCTGACCTCATTTGCAGACAGTCTCTCCTTGATACTGATCTCTTTGCTGTTATTCTGCATTTCCTTAACACTTGCCTTTCCCTAGTCTTGGAGCAATCTACCCCAGATCTACGTATGGCTCCCTCTTCTATTCACTCATGTTCTTAAACAAAAAGTCACTTTAGAAGAGTCTTTCTAAGAATTTTCTCCAATATATTACCCATGCACCACTTTCATTTGTCTTACACATGTGGGGTTTGTGTAGGAGTCTGTGTTTGTGTGTTTGTGTGTGTGTGTGTGTGTGTGTATGTGTGTTGTAACTCCCTTGAGAATATAGACTCTATAAACAACAAGGACTTGTATAAGACTGCTTGACATGTGACAGACATTAGGAAACATTTGTAAATAAATTGAAGAACTGGTAGGAATGCACTGAGCTGAATACATTTTCCTATGTTTACACATGATGAAACCTCAGCTGAGAGAATTTAAGTAATTATTTCGGGGTCACACAAGCTATAAGAGGTAAAGCTGAGTTTACAGCCAATGAAAGAGAATTATTTTTTGCTACCAAATGCAAAAAACACATTTCAAGACACACTGAATTGAGGGATGGAAAAGCCCTCATTGCTATTGAATTCTAACAATTCCATAGCAATGAAAAGGAACACTCATATGAAGTAGTTAACAGAAGAGGATAAAAACACAAAACACGAAGAACAGTAATGTGGGCTTGACCATGAACATGTGCTTTATTGGGGAAGCTAAAGAATAGGCAGACCTGCTTGAGGGTAGGGACCAGCACCAAGTCACTGAGCGACAGCCGGCAAAGGGAGATTAGGTGACCATCCTAATGCTCATCTTCCAATAACATGACATCAGCTTCAGTGCCTAAGCTTTTCTCTGTCAGCTGTCATCCCAGGCAGAGGTTAGGGAGGATGCAATCTGTCACCAAGGCTGAAGGGAAGATGATGGAGTCCTGTGATCAAGAAGAGCAAGTGGATCTAGCCGGTTCATGGTCCTGATGAATCCTCATGCTGTTACTTGCCCTTGGGTGGACACTTCTGCTGGCAGGGAGGAGGTGGGCACTGCACAGGTGGGCAGGGAGGAGGTGGGCACTGCACAGGTGGGCAGGGAGGAGGTGGGCAAGGCTCAGGGCACTTAGGAGGTGGGCATGGCTGAGGACACTTAGGAATGAACACAGGAGGTGGCTGGCAGGGCTGCTTGCACTGCTGCTGCTGTTGGTAGGACATCTCTGGTGGGTCTCAGAGGATCTGAAAGATAAGCAATGGAATTCATAAGAGAGACAGTCCTGATGGTGTAACAATTAGTCACAGCATCCACTCTCCAGTCTCTAAGGACCCATTTTGGATTCCTAACACAATCCTTGAGATTTTGTGTAGCTTTTTTACCCTTCTTTTTGAGGATCTCTCATCCTCAGCTGTTCAGTCTTTTGTGGCTGATATCTTACTGTCCCACTCTCTAAAGACAAAATTGCCTGTGAGGCAGAAACAGATGTTTCTGAGGACAAATACTGTATAGAGAAGAAAAACCCAACTATTGAAATTCTACCTGATTCCAAATGAAATCTCTACTCATACCTTCCAGGGGGCTTGGTTACCAGTTTAACGAAGCTGGCTGTGGTGCAGAGCAATGGGGCTGTGAAAAGCACTGCAGAGGCGCCTGCCCGTCCCTCAGGGAGATTGCACCCTGAGAGAGACGTGCTTCGGACACATGTGGAGCAGGAGATAGGACAGCATCTTGCATCTCTCACTCGCCTTCAGTTTAACATTCAGGTTAAAGATTGTATATTTTTTACTCCATTTTTCTCAACACCTTTAAGTCCATCTACCAAACACCAGCTGAAATTGATCCCCCAAACTTCATCGTCTTCTTTTTCTTGTCCATGAGCAAAAATTCATTAAAGTAAATCATCATTTCTATCCACAGGTTAAACCCTAACACCACCCCAGTGCCAGGGAATGCTGTAAAGTTTGTACTCACCAGAGTGTCCAGAGGTCTATAGCTGAGTGCCAAGAAGATAGCATCCGTGTGCTGGAGACGTCTTTTATAAAGGCCGAGCAGCCCCATGCAGGGAACAGCCCTGAACTGGGATGATGTGCTTATTTCCCAACCAAAATACCATCTGTGTGCAATCCCCAAATGACTTGGCATGCTCACGCTATCACAAAACTTCCTAGTTGGTGATCTTCCTCGCCAGGGTAATGCACAGTGATTCAGTTGAGACATTTTCTCAAGTTCTCCATGCCAGTGTCATGTGGCAATTGGAGAATATGACAAATTCTCTTGTTTTTTTGCAAGCAGAGATGGTACTTCCCCTACCTCCCAGCTTCCTGAGTGACCTGTATGTAACAACTATTACCTCATCCAGTGTCACCTGCCCAGTATCCAGCTTTGTTCACTTTAATAGTACAGACCAGGGTGTGCTAATCCTGAAGCCTGAACATATCTTGATTTCCAGGTGCAGTTGCAGTTT